ACCATTTGGGAGATTCAATGTTATAATACTCTTCGTATTTTCACCAAATGACTAGAAAATTGGCACAATATTTATTGTGAGTTATTTTATTTTAGATTTGTTTAAAGTTTTTTTTTAATGAAACATCGTTGTACGTACTAGATATCCGCATACACCGAACGTCATATATAATGAGGTGATCACTGCTATTGCTAGTTTAAATATTCTGCAATTAAAAAAGATAATACATTATGAAACAACAGTCAAAGAAAAGTTTAAGATCATTCATCAATAATATACACATAGAAAATCATTCGATCCTGTTTGGCTAAGAGCTGCAGTGCAATTGTTTTGCAATACCTGAAAATCGTATGTGAAAGTAACAACGTGAATACAGGAAGTATAAATGAAAGATTTCCTAACAAGCAATGAAAACAAGGCTTTAAACGGCGCAGGTGAGTACGAAGGTGTTGTCTAATATTTTCATGTATATCATTAATAGTATTAGTAGAATCATACTAGTATACTATTGCAAATGCTGTAATTTGATTGGCTATACTCTACTCACTATCTATTCCTCGATTTTCCTCGATAGATATCGAGTAGCAAAACAATCATTTTCCTGGCGCATTTTTTTTTAAATGGCTTCCGGCTCGCGTTTTTTATTGAATTATTTTGTGGAATATTTTAAGTTTGATCTGATTCTACTAAAACAATTAGATTACTCGCCCTCGATTTCTATGAGGTGATAGTTGATGCGGGCCTCGCCTTCATCAACTATCACCTCTTAGTATAAATTTCCAGGTGACTATTGATTTTTCTGCATTCTGATTGGTCAAGATTCACTGTCTCTGAAGTGATAGTCACTGGTCAGTGACTATAGCTTTTTTTTCAAAATGGCTGCTCGTTTTGCCGTAGTAACAGAAGAGGAAATTGCCAAAATTAAAGAAGATAGCATTCCGAAAAAACCCAAACAAGCTACAAAATATGGTTTAAAAATATTTCAAGGTAAAATATTAAACTTTACATGCTTTTATTTGGAAAAAAACTGGCTTAGTCGCAACGCGACACAGAGCCGTGTCTGAGATTTAAATTTTGTAAACTGGCAAACTATTTATAGTGAAAATAAATTTGTTTGAAGTAAATTTTTATAAAGTTGTGTGGATTATTGTTTGTAAATACCTGGAAATTTATACTAAAACAATTAGTCGCCTCAGGCTCGGTGATTACAAGCCTATATTCACTTCGCCTTCGGCTCAGTGAATATAGGCTTGTAATCACCTCACCTTCGGCGACTAATTGTTAAATAGAAATCGAGAGCGAGCAATCTAATAGACCTTTCCCCTTTTGAGTGAAATTTTGATCCAGACAAGTTTGCACAAAAATTTCATCACAGCTTGAAAGAGCATCACAAAATTAGTAATACTCCGAAGTTTCGTTGCGAAATGTTGTAAAATGCGGATAAAATAGCCTTGCGATGTTTGCCGTTTTTCAGTCATTTTGCATTACAAATGGAAATTGATAATCAGATGATCAAACTGATTATCAATTTCCCATTTGTAATACAAAATGACGGAAAAACGGCAAACTTCGCAAGGCTATATTATCCTCATTTTACAAAATTTTGCAACGAAACTTCGGAATATTACTAATTTTGTGCTGCTCTTTCAAGCTGTGATGACATTTTTGTCTAGACTTGTCTAGATCAAAATTTCACTCATAAGGGGAAAGGTCTATTGATAGACGGTATGGTTTCTCTTCCAATTTGGAAAAACATAAACTTGTCAGTTTTTCAAAGTTGAGTAATTGCACTCGAAACAATACTGTTGTTACCTAATATTAAACTTATATATACTTTATATGAAAGAATATACTTTTATGAGAATATACTTTTATGCTATACTTTTATGAAAACAGTAAGGCAATGCTAGTTAGCGCATGAAGGCGCTTATATATAAGTTGTGACAGACATCCAGCCTGCACTTAAGCTTTTTCATATGAGAAGTGACGTCACACTTACAAAATGGTAGCCCAAAATTGACCAAGCCTGCTACAGGCAGCCGAGTAAAGATCCTAAGGCCTGGGCTGACAGGTACTAAAGATTCTTAGGCTGACAGACACTAATATTCCTCTAACACAGTATCATCAAAGCAACGTTGGCTACAGAGGCACAGTAAGTGTTAGTGGTGGGGAAGATATCCCAGGGTACAAGCGGTTGTACTCCGGTGGGGGAGATGTCCCAGGGTACAAGTGGTTGTACCCTTGTGGGGAAGATGTCTCAGGCTGCAGGCAGTTGTACCCTTGTGGGGAAGATGTCTCAGGCTGCAGGTAGTTGTACCCTTGTGCCTCCTTCCACTGACGTCTGTCGTTGCGCTCGTGTTTCATGTCATTTGAAAAACCTCGCTCTACTCAACACACGCACAAGAAAAAATGTTTCTTGCATTCACACCACATTGAAATCGGTCTTGGTTACTTTCGTAATCATGTTTTGCTGGATATGAGACTATGCGTCCTGATAAAAAATTCTGCTATCACGCAATTAATAATTCTGCTATTACGCAAAAAAATTCTGCTATTACGCTATTATATAACCACTCAGCACAGTATTTTCACTACCTACACTGGTACAGACAGTTTTAGTATATATATTACGCAAAAACCATTTATAAGCAGAAGTCATTCTGAGCATGCAAAAGTCTGGGCATTTGAGGAGCGAAGTAAATAGAAAGGGTTACAAGATGATAAGGATTACTTACCCATAAAATTTATCTCGATATTCTTTGGCAACAGAAGATTCCAAAGAAAGAATCATACCTGCTCCCTACAACACAATATTACACACGTCTGAACCGCCGAATACTTATTAATCATTCGAGTGTACCATAAATTCTCTATTTAACCCTACCCCCCACGCAAATAACCCCCATCCTTTACTCTAATAATACCATGATCACCTCGGGTTCTATTGTTCCAAGCGGGCATTAAAATCTCTAAATTCTCTCTGAGCGGGCAATTAATTTACTAATTCCACAAACCTCTCTCGCTTTCGGGGCATTTAATCACTAATTTCCCTCATGTCATGCTATTACTTATAATAAATTCTTTTCTGGGGGATTTACTACGAGCTCCTCCCTACTCAGCGCCCCCACCTCCACACTTCAGCTGAACCCCCGTTTGTCCCCCAGTAAAATCAGTAAACCATCCTCCAGGGGTGGAAAAAATATTTTGCTTTCTGGGACCGCAAGAGAACATTGAAAATTTTCTGCAAATAATCAAATAAATTGACACTCGGACTGCAACTGTGTGATGTGGTCAAACTGACTTTTGAATTTTAGAAGTCTGGAATGGCTATTTCCTGCGATTTTACAGATATATCCAAAGGGAATAACAAAATTTGTGTGGTTAGGGAAGCCACACATTTTGTCAATGAGAAACGTCATATGGACGTTTCTCTGGAGACCCCCTTACCACCCACCTCATCACCCTCCCCCTTAGAAACGTCACACATAGTTATCGATATTTTGTTCTTATAGGCGTTTTTCTTGAAATTTGAGTGTTCCCAATGCAAGGAAGGTGTAATAATATAAATGTATAGAACAGGTATGGTATTACGAATGTATAGACTGATGTTTGTGTCAAGTTGTTTTCTTTTTTATATTCTGCAAAGATGATTCCGAAATGTTAAGGCTTTAAAAAAACTATAGAATTTTTCCATGATGTATTACAGAGAAACGTCAAAGCTGAAACCCCCGAACATATGACGTTTCTCGTGTACAAAATCGATATGTGAGGCTTCCCTTCCCAGAGTGCCAAGCGTAGTAATCTGTGGTCCGTAGTTGATACCGGTAACGCCATTATAGATTGCTAGGCGTGGCTTTATAGTGTAAACGAAGTTACAGCACTGTTATCGGTTAGAATCCGAGTTCGTTAGAGCGGTGCACCAGAATCGCAGGGCCATAGTAGCATTTTTTGCAACTGTTCCTGGTTAGATTTAATAAATGTACTATGTAAAATTCCCATGTACAAGACCCTTCAACTATTATTCAATTGAGTGAGATCACTGAGATGCCAACAAAATCTTGGTATAGCAGGAGTGACACACGAGTAGCGTGTAAGTCAATATATTACCCGGAAATGAGCTGTTGCAAAGTTGCAGTTGCTAGGTAACAAGGCCATAAGATTGTGTAAATGTAATAGAAAGCAGAAAATGAAAATAATGAATAAGACCAGAAAAATTACAATGACTTTTTCAAGTTCAAGATTGGACACTTTGAAAGATTGGACAGTTTGAAACTTGGACAATCATTTCTCTATTTTGTGGAAAGTTTTAGTCCTGCTGAGCAGGACCGCTAGCTACGCCACTGATGAAGGGTGGGAATCCTACGGTGAATAAAAATGCTAAAAAAGGCAGTAGTAGGGGGCACTACCAGGGGGATCCATGCTCCCCAGAAAATTTTGAAAATTAGCTGTTCTATTTCTGAGGTCATACCTACAGTACAGGTAACATTCTTTCTATTAGTTAGAATTTTTCCTCTGAATTTCTCCTTTTATCTATTAAATTTTTACAATTATCTTTTTTTCTTTCTTGGGGAAATATTTTCTGGGAACTCAAAAAATTTTCTGGGACCAATGATCCCGTGGTCCGATACTTTTTCCACCCCTGCCCTCCTCTCAGCTGAGGCCCTCTCCCCCCTTCTATTAACATGCCTGAAATATATAAGCCTCACAAGAGAACAGATGATTTACGGTGTTTTAACGTATCGGTACGTTCATGTCACATGTAGTGGTATAGCTGCCCCCTCCCCCCACAGGCCCTCATGACTCATGGGAAGACCCCTCCCCCCACAGGCCCTCGTGACTCATGGGAAGATCCCAATTTGTGTGTGACCTTCCCGTGGTGCAACATGTCCTGTGGAGGAGTCAGAGTTTTGACAAGGGAATGAAAGTTAAGTGTTCTTACCTCGTAACAGTAAACGGCAATCCCAATGAAAAATGGCAAACCTTCAGCGGAATAATTTTGAATGTCATCCCTAAATAACGCGATTGAAGTATAACGGATGACTCTCGCACTAGATAACTTTCGACAAGATGGCATACATATACGTTTTGGTTACCCAATACCATGACATTCCTGTGTCGTGCAACCAGGGGTTAAAACATCATAATTCATGTCATTAGGTTGTTCATTTTATTACCTAATTGAATAGCTCAGACAATATTTGGAGGGGCGAACTTTAAGAAAGGGTGGATATAGCGAAGTAGCTGTAGTTCGCTACTATAGCGAATAACAATTTGCAAGTATTGACTACTCTTTTGAAACAGTTGTGGCTGTAACATAACATAACATAACATAACATAACATAACATAACATAACATAACATAACATAAGCGAACTAGTTGATTACTTTTCAAGCAACAATCGCTATTCGTTACTAATTTGCAATAATGTGATGTCGTTTAGTTTAGCTTTACTGATACGTTTATACAATTTTAGCGTTTTTAGAGTTTATCACTTTTCTTGCCATTCGAAGCACTAATTACAAATTAGAAGAACATAACATCAATGAAAGTTACAAATTCTGGGTTGCCAATTGAATTTCAAGAAGGCTGCTTTTTTAGTGAAGTAGGCGGCTATTGGCACCACTCTCCTAGAGAAACGGTTCGAGGGCATCTGCCCGAAGTACAAAGTAGCTGTAGCGAACTACAAGACCACACAACGTTTGCTTAAAACTTTCACATGCATCCTGCTTACAACTTGAGTTGTACTGTGTAAATCAAGCACACAACTCGTTCATGTTGTTGTAAGTGAATTGTGTGCGTGATTTACACAGTACAACTCAAGTTGTAAGCAGGTGCATGCGACAGTTTTAGGCAAAAGTTGCGTAGTGTAAATCAAGCACACAACTCGTTGATGTTGTTGTAAGTGAGTTGTGTGCTTGATTTACACAGTACAACTCAAGTTGTACGCAGGTTGCATGCGACAGTTTTAGGCAAAAGTTGTGTAGTGTAAATCAAGCATAATAATTCTTTGTCAACATAATTTCTAGTAATATTATAATGTATATTAGCTTTTACCAGCTGTTAGCTGCCATTCAGATTTTTAATAAATTCAATTCAAAAAATTAGGAAGAACGGTGGCCGCGACTATCACTACTGTATGTGTGACTTTTCACAGGCATGCAAGTCTCTTCCCATTTTTAATTAAAAAAAACATCGGGAGTTTACGCCAATATAGGCACTCACGCGTAAGAGACTAAAACAACCTTCAATGCAATAAATATTTTACATGCACAAGATATAGCACAGTATAAAACTATTCAATATTTACCCAATTTTCTCGAAATTCTCAAAATCAAACCAGAATACCACACAGTAAGCAAATATGTTCGCGAAATCAGCAAATAAACTAGAGCAAGAAGACGTTCATTGGTCAATTAACAATTTAGACAAACAAACAACAAATAAACAAACAAACAAACAAACAAACAAACAAACAAACAAACAAACAAACAAACAAACAAGCCCCTAGCTGGAGAATATATAAGGATTATATCCAGGATTATATCTGACTATGAAGAGTTTTAACTATATGTAAATGTAATAACTGACATGTGGCAAAACCACAGGTTTTCATTTTTTGTATCAACAAGTACCTGAATATGCTTAGATTCTTTAGCTGTCTCACATTTGTCAGAATAATGAGTGGAAACACCATAGCGAGTAAGTAGTGATTTCTGAAAACAAATATTGTACAAAGGTTGAAAATGTCAGCAGTATTCCAATGGTATCCAATTTTTCTGCTGAGCACTTGATACTTTCAGGGTTCCCTCCCCAATAGAATTTGGAGTATGAGGCCTTTTGAAAGATGTAGGCGGCTATATCATGCCGAAGGCACCTCCCACTTAGGGAACCCTCCCACTAGGGGTTCCGGGACGATTTTTGGACCGTCTGAAAAGGAATTTCCAACCAATACAAGTTATGTGACTTTCACATTTATGCGAAACCTTTGTCATTTCTAAGAAGAAATATTTTGTGTTAAAATATCGAAAAACAACCGGCGATTGTCTGCACTATAATAGGCAGCGAAATTCACCAGTGAGTGCAAAAAATTTTAATAATTTTATGTTGACATATATTTCACATTAGATCTTCGCTCAAAACGTTGAAATATTTTCTATATTTTCTCACTGTTGAATCTTCAACCAACTTCTTCAACATTCTCTTAATTCAACAACTCGGTTCATCCCATTATTCTATGGCCCCGTTTACATGAGACTGGGACGAAGTCAAACCGGAATGAAAATTGAAATTGTGAACATGTTTACATGAGACCGGTACGAGGATCACAAAATCTTCAATTAATTCCCCTTGCCAGCAAGTTTCTTTTTAGATGGCTTTTGTTGGCATGTGTTGTTCCAATGTCACTTGAGGTTACTGCCGAGACTGGTCCGGTCTCATGTAAACGGGGCCTAAACGCTTCAGCTAACAACGTGTAACAATGTACGATGTTTCACTTAATAATTCATAAGCTTTTTGGCAAATCATGTCAACCATAATATGTCACGTGCAGTGGCTTTAAACCTGATAAAACACTCCTAATTAGTATTCTTTATATAAAGAATACTAATAAGGCAGTATATCTATTGAATTGGTAGTCGTGTTTGAAGCCGTTTAGTAAACTAGCAGGTCGTGTTTTATTAGGTCTAAAGCAGGGCGCTTATAAGCGCCCTGGTCTAAAGCCACTCGCGCTGCGCGTTCGTATAGCTTTAAACCTAATAAAACACTCCTGTTCGTTTATTAAACAGTACTTTACCTCGTAAATCTTGGTAAAAAGTTGGTTAAATTCTCTGAAATAAATATTAAATATGCACAACAAAATCCTAGAAGAAATAATAAAAGTCAACAATAAGTTGATTTAATCTGGTTTTATTTTATGACGTAAGAGAATAAGGAGACAATAAACCAGATGTGTAAAAATAAGAGTGATGTAACTGCACGTTATGTGAAATTATACTTAAAGACAGGGTTAAGTCTGTTCTGCGCATGTGCCATGTGAGGGCCCTCTGATGTAATCAATACCCAAATTTCGTGTTGTTTCAACATCTTCCTAATTGAAACTCTAATCTACAGTATATTCATTTAAAGGCACAGTTCAGCCTGTTGAACGATGGTTTTTAAGGCGCATTCCAGCCCTTTTAATTGAAAAAACTAACTAGGAAAATCAATTAAGCATAATTCAAAATCAGTAAACTGGATGTTTTTAACAATATAAAGGTTTTAAAATGTTAAAAACATTAAGTTTGGTGATCTTGAATTATGCTTAATTGATTTTCCTAGTTAGTTTTTTCAATTAAAAGGGCTGAAATGCCCCTTAAAAACCATCGTTCAACAGGCTGAACTGTGCCTTTAAAAGAATAGGGAACCATGAACAATGTTATAGATATTAACTGAGTACATCATATTCTATGAATATAGTGTGTTCAGCATTTAAATAAACCACACATCCGCAGACTTGACGCATTCTTTTTATTACAGCATATATAGAATAGTGAAAGTTCTGCCAAGAATGTCCGCTGGCCTGGTTTCCCTAAAACGTTTCCCAGTGCCTACACATAAACGATGCAGAAACTTACCAACTTGAGACAAAACTACAAGACCGTCAACTAACACAATTCCAGATTTCCCCAAGGCATAATATCCTGAATAGAAAACAAAGTGTTTGTGACTCAATCTGCCAACCACATATACGATTTTCAAACTGTCCAAAATGTAAACAAGACATGTGTGGATATTGTGTTCCTAACTTCTATTATAGGAACATGATACAAGGTAGGCCAACAATTTCACAGGAATATATCTAGTACATTTCTGGGTGTTGCTACAACACCAAAATAGTGTAATTTACATTGCAGCTCTGTAGATATAGATTTAGTGTAAATGTTAACACTATTCTTGTGTTGAGGAAACACAAAATATACTCATCAATCATTTACACCCAGAAAGTGTTATAGGTGTTTCAATACACTTATTAGGTATTTCCAAAGTTGGTGTTTCCATAACACAAAAGTGGTGTTATTTATTTATTTAACAAGCTTTCGTTGATAGGGATGAAACTACCTAAAAAATATAAGTATTTCGATTATTTCGAGGGAAGGCCCTTCGTCTGGAGTTACTAGCGTTACATTACACACCAAAGGCAGATCTACATAGTTAGACGATTTCTGAAACGATCGTCAAAACATTGAAAAAATGTCCACCTTAAATCAGTGCCTATAAACAGCTGCAATGATTACACCATTTTGGTGTTTGTAACCCAGAAAAAGTCAAATTAAAAATAAGTTAAAATAATATCCAAATAAACAAATTGAGGGTGACTAGAATGCGTGGTTTTGACTGCGAAATATGGCAACGAGGTTCATGTAGGGTTTATCCCTAGCTGACCCTTGAGCCAGCCACATTAACGCGTACATTAGATATATAGATGGTTTTACAATCGGATTACAACACGCCGACAAAATTAACAAAATGCTTGTAGTTTTGCCAGACGTGTTGTTTTGGAAAGCAGTTTAACAATCTGGTGACATGTGATGTAATTAAACTGTAATTGATTGATATCTATATCCTATACAGGGTGTATAAAAAAAAACTGAACAGATTTGAAATTGCTCTCAATTTCGCAAAATACCTATTTGTATCCGGTTTTTTATATATATAGCTTCTTTGGGTGGTTATAATGTAGAATGAAAAAAATTTCTCACACTCAAATTTTGTGAACCAGGGGTGTGTGTCTTTTCCAACAAACTAAAAATGGCTCGCGCACAAAATTTAAAAGTTGTAGTCATATTTTGAGTTAATAGATGGAAAATTTGTCGGGTTTTTAATTACTGTACAAAATTTCAGACAATTTGGTTTAGTTTAAGCCCTTTAACTATTCACGCAAAGTTACATTTTTCCTAAAAATCAGCTATTTGCATGCTTAATTAATGCCTTTGCCTAATTTGCATATGTCAGCAATGTGCAAATTAGGTAAAGGCATTAATTAAGCATGCGAAAGGCTGATTTTTTAGAATAAAATGAATAGTTAAAGGCTTAAACTAAACTAAATTGTCTGAAATTTTGTACAGTAATTAAAAGCCCGACAAATTTTCCATTTATTAAATCAAAATATGATTACAACTTTTAAATTTTGTGCGCGAGCCATTTTTAGTTTGTTGGAAAAAGACACCCCCCTGGTTCACAAAATTTGAATTCAAGAATTTTTTTCATTATTCTACATTATAAGTACCCAAAGAAAGTATATATATATAAAAAACCGGATACAAATTGGTGTTTTGCGAAATTGAGAGCAGTTTCAAATCTGTTCAGTTTTTTTTATACACCCTGTAGAGAGAATAACAATCGTCCAAGAATGCTGCTTTTTCATATTGATGCTATATTTAGAATGGAAGAAAGATAAAAGGAATTATTATTGCATATCTAACTTTGATCAAATGAACCAACCTAGATCACCAAATTCCAGATCATGATGAACGCCAATCTAAAAATGACAAAACTTTATCATGTATATCAATCATGAGGAATTTCCGCTGGCATGATCAAAAATTTCATTCCCACATACATTTGAGAGGTTCAGATATGATTACCACTACTTCGCACTGACTTAATTAGTACGCATCTGATTGGTTAATCAAATATATCAAATGCATCTGATTGGTTAATCAAATATATCAAATGGATCTGATTGGTTGATTGTCCCTTATGGTAACAGTAGCGGTGGTGGAAGACAAATCTGAACTAATGGCATAAGTCGACCAAAAATCATTTTCATGAATGAATGAAAACTTTTACCTAAACAGGCCAACAGGGTAACCTAATATTGCATCAATGAAGACACTATTGCAGTTAGGAATTGAGTTGATATTAAGAGGCAATTTTTTTCAATGTCACGTATTTGCAATGAAAAGTGTTCAAAACCTAAAAAATCTTTTTGGCGTCCCTCTCAAAATTACTTTGTTTTAGCTTTATTCTCTAGTTTATACAGTTAGCTACCTTTTTAAATGCATCTGCCGGTTGAGAAACATAAAATAATAGTAAAAAATTGTCAACTAAAATATAATTATCAATGATGCTTTAAAATTGACGCCATATTTACAGCCAATATAAGCAAAACTTACTGAACTTCAGACATCATTTTCTCTTTGGCGTATCATCTAAAATCTCTTCATTTTAGCATTATTTTACAGATAAAACACTAAACATACTTTTTAAGTTTGTTTGCCGATTGAGAAACGTATCGAAAAATTAAAAATTTTGAATTTAGTCATACCCTCAAGTGGTATATTATACGCATTAGTTTTGAGCGCGTGTTACGTAACATACACTCATCTCCTCTTAATAATAACGAATTCACCGTTGGGCGTTGGCTGTTAGTCAATCACGTTTTCTAAGTAAAATTGCTACTCACATTTTTTTATCGAAGTAAGATTCTAACACCTGAAAAACCTATACTTATAATACAAATTACACCTGAAAAAACTTATAAAATATTAATTATTACATTTTTACACGCCCCATGTGGAAATCAGCTTTGGTTGATAAATAAAGCGTGGGTAAATAAAGTTTTCTATCTATCTTCTACAAGTTTTACAGTTAAAAATATTAATAATGATACGAGTGAATCAGACAATTTGACAGACGTAGTACTGTTGTTATATAATTGGTAAACAAGGACAGCAGCGAGATTATTGGTGAACGACAACATCAAGGACAGACTTGCAGGAACAAAATGAATGGAAACGAAGGATTTGGTCGACAGAGCCTGGATCACTGGGATGTATGCAAAGGTATTTTAAATCAAAACGAAGTTTGGCATCACTTTACATTCATTGTGTGGGTTCATTAGTGTGGAATCGCATGAGTTGGTATTTATTCAGAAAAATGTTTTTGCGTCTGTGGTGTACTTATGTTGCGTATACTCCAAGGCACTGTATTACCTGTATGTCTGGTATTACCTTTGGTTTTACCTTTGGCTTTAGTTCTTTGATCTGAACATCAGCAGCATTACCGTTACTTTGTTTTGCAGGTTTTTCATCAGGCACGGAAATCAGTTTCTGATAATGTGGTTGTCTGCTAAGAATCTTGTATTTACAGTCAATCAGAAGTAACATTGCCCGAGTGCTAAGAATTGGAGAGATATTTTAGGGGCCATTCACAAAATATGTGACGCTCGTGTGGGTAAGGGGGTGTTTGATCAGAAGTCACATAGTGTCACAAGAGGGGTATCACAATGGGTATCACACACGGTATCACATGACGGAGAGGCGTATAGGGGAACATTTAGCCCTGTGAACCCTGTCTATAACAAAACAATACCATGTATGCAAATATGTGTCCCTTAGATGACAAATCAATGTTTTCTATCAAAATACTCCCCCTGACATCGCCATAGAAGGTGGCACTCTCGTTTATACAACAAACCAGCGAGAACGTGAGTGGGAAACTGTTTAGGTCAAGGTTTAGTAAGGCATTGAAATAGTGTCGATTTATAGATAACGTTTTGAAACTGTTGCTGCACATTAAATTTGTGTTTTGTGAGTTTTTTATGGGGTTCAGAGTCACATATTTTATGATGGGATGTACTGCTAGCTGTCACTGTCACAAGGGGGTAGGGAGGGGTAAAAAAGTTGGCAAAAACAACATCACATATTTTGTGAATGGCCCCTTATTGGTACAATAAGATTTCATAAAGATTCATTTGCAGCATATTTATTAAATACATATCTACTTAGAATATAAAAGATTAGTCTAGCAGACATTTGAATTTTCCACATTCCTCCAGCCCCATGTATTTTTCGCAATTAGTATCACCTGTAGGCAGGGCCGCCGAGAAGTTGTGCGGGGCCTAGGGCATAACATTCCCAGGGGTCTCTCTATGATGTCATAATTCAATCTCGTTCCCTGAGCCTGTGATCCTCGGGAAGGAACGCAAGGCTCTGGGATAATCCGTTGCCGGAAGCCAGGAATCCTAGCCAGGAATCCTGGCTAAGATTGAACTACGCATTCTATTTTAACGGCCAATCAGATTCCTCCCTGAAACAGATTATCCCAGAGCCTCACATTCCTTCCCGAGGATCGCAAGCTCGGGGAACGAGATTGGTCATAATTGTAAAAAGGAATCGAGAAGCAGTGTTAAAATTACAACATACAGTATTACACTTTATTGTATATTATCCAGCCTAAGACACAGGTAGGATTTATTTTCTCAGTTAATTAAGCAATCTTGTATCAAAAAATTTCAAGGGGTATCGTTGCTTTGGGAGGGCCCTTTTGAGCTGGGGCAGCACAAGTGTAAGACAAGTGTAAGACAAACTATATGTTAATATACCATGGAGATGGAAAGTGACAAGTTTGGAATTGAGACATATCAACACAAACATACAGTAGTTAAACACATTGTGATAGATGAAATAATATTTTACCTCACAAAACCTGTAAATGCCAGTATAACAGTTCCTTCAATAACTCCTGCCTAGTAATCAGATAAATCTGCATGGCATCAATGAATTTCTAGTTATTGCAAGCAGGGCTGTAAACTAGGTTAAAGAGCTCTTACATTGTCATAGGGTTAAACTGTCAGCACTATCAATAGCTGTTTTGCTAGCAAAGCGATGGGTTGCTGCATGCATGTATTTTTAGATATATACCTTACAACTCAGTGTGCAGTTAATGTGCAACTAGGATGATGCGGTTTCGTAAAATAACCGAAACGGAGAATCGTCACAAAATAACCGAGATAACCGACTCTTTTAATCAATGAAATTATTTTGACAAAAATAAACAACATGTCTTGTGTGTTATCCACGTGACTTCTTCGCAGACGTCCGCCTTTCTCTTAGCTAATCAAACCGGAAGCTTCAAGCTTGTTTTGATCCGCTTTTAATCCGCCATTTGAGTCGCAGCGCTTTTCTAGGCTTCTAGCATTGATTTAATTGCGTAATCACCAAAGAGTATAACGTAGCTTGCTTATAGTTTTATGTTGATCACATGTAGCACGCTTGTTTGTCTTTTTATTTTGAATTTTATATTTTGAATCGGTTTTTCAGTTAGTCGGTTATCTGATATTTAGAAGACTTGTGAAACCAATCTGTAAAAACAACCGATTCATCTCGGTTAACCGAATAACCGCATCACACTATGTGCAACCTTTGCCAAACACATGTGTGATTTTTCATTAATACTTCTCAAACCGTGTAATTCTCTATACAAATCACTGGCATTAGAGAGCGTAAACTAATAAAGCAGGCCGCAATGCAACTTAATGGGTTTACTAGATACTTGGCCAGATAGTCTAATTAACCCAATATGCACCAGTGCTCTCCCCTTGACAAGTAAACTTAACAAAATAATACAATTGGGTGCAATATGCCACTTAAAGGGTTAAACCACAATTAATATGTTCAAATTAACAAAATTACATGAGACATGATAATGAAAGAACCCAAACGTATTGGCATGGAATTGTACCTGGAATATCTATTGTCTAGTTAAACTACATGAAAACACAAGATAACAGGGTTATCTCAGAATTAAAATATGATAACAGGAATTGTGTACCTGGAATATCTATTGTCTAGTTAAACTACATGAAAACACAAGATAACAGGGTTATCTCAGAATTAATTATAAAATTACAATCCCCATGAAAAAATATCGATGAAACAATATTTTAAAATTGCTACATTCTAATGTATCCAAACAAATTATTTCATACCTCCTTGAACGCATACGGCACGCCGAGAACTCCGGCGCCGATAAATGCAATAAAAATATTGGCGAAAATTTTAGGAATACTCTTTGTGCCATCTTGCATTTTCTTGCTCCAGTTGACTTCGTTTTCTTTATGATTTATGAAGTTCAAGTTGGTTTATAGTTAGCAACTGTCGACGTCACAAGGTAGTCATTTATATTATTCGACGAATCGACGTGTTCTTTATAAAATACAATTCATTCAACAGACATTATCTTTATAGGGTCAAGCGTCCAAAGTACAATCTTTAATATTTAAATCTTTGTTCAAATATACTTCCAATGTCTGAAAAGATTGTTGAGAACTAATTTATAAAAATAAAATTTTCGAGAGAATCGCTATAAAAGGGAATGACACTTGAAGCACTTCATGTAAAAAATGTATATTGGATATTGTCAACTTTAATTTAAGGCTTGGTTACCAAGCACTGAACTATATATATATATATGCCAGTGAACTCTAATAGGGCCGTAGCAACCGGAGGGCTGGGCGGCTGCAGCCCTCCAATAATTTGCTAATAATCATTCTTTTTTCACAATCATGCAGACCTTTATCATTTAATCCATGCAAAACTGTAAAGAATGAAGATACAGGGTGTCCCAAAAAAATGTCCCCTATCATATTTTGTGGTACTACATCGTTTAAATACCTGTAATCGAATATTCAAATTTTTTCAATTTTTTTTATCAATGAACATATTATGTTAATCGTTGCATTTTTTCGCACCAAAATATTTAATTTAACCGTTCGCCTTCTAGAGTTACTTAAGGTGGCGACACCAATACATATGCACCAATATTGCCACTTGTCCAAATTGAGGATATTAGGTTTAAACTTACGGAATGTCATAAAATGTTTTAATGGTAAATGGCTACATATCTTTTCGAGAACTTGTAATTAGTTGTAGCCCAAATCGCAAATTAATTTTCTGTTTAAGCAAATTTAAGGCATTTTCCCAACCTTAGCTTTGCCTTTGTCAATTTGCCAGGGATTTTTCATCTTTTTTTATTAATTTCTACAAGAAACAAAAGTTTAATAATAGAGATAAAAAACATTTTGTTTTTTAGCAGAAAGGTGGGTAGAAACTTTAGAAATCCTTCTGCAAAGTTTGCATTATTTTTAACCTAATTTCTGTAATTTGGACGGGTTGCAAAATTGGTGTCGCCACCTTAAGTATTTCTAGAAGCCGAACGGTTAAGTATTTTGGTGAGATAAATACTACGATTAATATAATTATTATACTGATATGATTGTTTTTCAACCCACTGCAAAAGAATTGAACCTTTGATTAAATATAGCGAAGTCATACCACCAAATATGACAGGGGACATTTTTTTGGGGACACCCTGTATTACCCATTCTTTCCTGCAAATTAACTTATCCAAAATATAGTTAATTAAAGTGCAGATTTCTGCACTTTAGGGAGTATTCATTTTTTAGCTGGGGGGGTGGGCCGGAGGAACTGATGTCTAATTCCATGCGAAAACTTGGAACCCCCAAGACAAAAGTTGATAAAAATTATGACCCCCTATTTTTTTTACTGAAAATTTTTTGACCCCTCATCCTAACTATTAATCCACACGGTGTTGTTTCCAAAGCTCTTTTTGATTGGGGGCTGAAAGCGAGGGCCGAAGGCCCGAGGAAATTTTTAAATCTAGAGTCTCTGAAATGCCATTTCCTGGGCTTTGGGGGAAGATTTGACAGAATTCTGATGGTCAGAAAACAGCGTTTTAGTATGTCGAAATTGACAATTTGGTAGTACTAAATGGGCAAAGGCGTATTTAATTTACTATATATTGGATAACTAGGATAAGTTGCAGGAAACTGTCGGTACTATCTTCATTCTTTGCAGTTTGTCATGGATAATGTAGCCACTTAAAATTAATAAAGCTTAAAATTGATCAAGGTCTGCATGATTTTGAAGTCATGCAGACCTTGAAATCATGCGTGATTTTGAAATCATGCTACGGTCCTGGGTTTTCTTTCATTCATGTTTTCATACAAAAACGGATAAGAACGAAGTCAATTGACGAACGTCATGGAAATGTTTTCCTATGGACTGTGTGAACAGAGCGTCAAATGAATTTTGCTTCATTGTTATAGATGACGAGATAGTTGATAGATTCTAGACCTTTTTACCATTCTTGATCCAAATATTTCCAAATTCAATAAAATTATATTGGTGATTTTTTCACTTATTATTTTTATGACCCCCTCCATTTATACCAAAACTATAAAAAGACCCACCCCTTTGAAGCATGTCAAAATTGGCTGACCCACCCCCAAATTCCTCCGGCCCACCCCCCCAGCTAAAAAATGAATGCTCCCTTAACTCTGAGTGCTCTGGTTAAAGTGGAAGTCAAGTCCGTTCTGCGCATCGGTTCTGCTCATAACAATGTGAGGACCCTCTAATGTGAACATTGCCCAAATTTCGAATGTATCGAATTTTTCTGAACATAAATTCTATTTCATATTCACAACAAGATTAGAAAGTCGAAAAGTCGGGAAAATGTTCAGCAAAAGTCGGGCAAAAGTCGGGCAAAAAGTAGTCAAAACAAGAAAATCTCTCTTAAGGGAGCATTCATTTTTTAGCTGGGGGGGTGGGCCGGAGGAATTTGGGGGTGGGTCAGCAAATTTTGACATGCTTCAAAGGGGTGGGTCTTTTTATATTTTTGATATAAATGGAGGGGGTCATAAAAATAATCAGTGAAAAAGTCACCAATATAATTTTATAGAATTTGGAAATATTTGGATGAAGAACGGTAAAAAGGTCTACAAACTATCAACTATCTTGTCATCTTTAACAAAGAAGCAAAATTTCGTTTGACGCTCTGTTCACACAGTCCATAGGAAAACATTTCCATGACGTTTGTCAATTGACCTCGTTTTTATCCGTTTTTGTGTGAAAACATGAATGAAAGAAAACGCAGGACCGTAGCATGATTTCAAAATCATGCATGGTTTCAAAGTCTGCATGCATTTCAACTTAACTTTTATCAATTTTAAGCTTTATTAATTTTAAGCGGCTACATTATCCATGACAAACTGCAAAGAATGAAGATAGTACCCACAGTTTCCTGCAACTTATCCTAGTTATCCAATATATAGTTAATTAAATACGTGTTCGCCCATTTAGTACTACCAAATTGTCAATTTCGACATATTAAAACGCTGTTTTCTGACCATCAGAATTCTGTCAAATCTTCCCCAAAGTCCAGGAAATGGCATTTCAGAGACTCTAGATTTAAAAATTTCCTCGGGCCTTCGACCCTCGCTTTCAGCCCCCCAATCAAAAAGAGCTTCCTACGGTCCTGAAACGCTACGGAAACGACACCGTGTGGATTATTAATAGTTAGGATGAGGGGTCAAAAAATTTTTCAGTAAAAAAAATAGGGGGTCATAATTTTTTATCAACTTTTCTCTTGGGGGTTCCAAGTTTTAGCATGGAATTAGACATCAGTTCCTCCGGCCCACCCC